TTCCTTTCATCTTCACCCGCTCTTTATTGTTTTCCCATTGCTATCGCCCATCACAAATCGCCTTTCACGTCCTGCTTTCAGCTTGATCCCTTGCCCTCTCTCCTTACCGGTGGTGATAACACCCTCCAGTCGGATGATGTTGGAGTGGTCAAACTGCCCTAGGATGCCAGCCTCGCTGAGGAAGGAACGACGCTGTTTGTCAGAGCAGCCGGCCCTTGATGTCTTTATGGCCACGGGCAGTTCTCTCTTACTGGGAAGCTTCAGGCAGCCGCGACACACCTCCCCAAAGTCACCTGCAGGAGGAGACACAAACAGAGGTCATGATGCCTGTTAACTGACAAACGTACAAGAGAGCAGAGAAAGCACAGGGGCAAGGTGCTGCAGGGTCAGACTGATCACACAAAGTAATACCTGAGCAAAGATCAAAAGAAAGTGAGTTAAAAAAAATCATGGGGGTTTAGCAGGGGTAATCAAAGAGAAAGGGGGGCAGGTTGGAGCAGAATCAGATGAAGAAATGCAAACAGTGGGGAGAAAGTAAGAATGCAAATGAACAAACATTGTTGAGAGAGAGAGAGAGAGAGAGAGACATGAAATACCAAGGAATCAAGGATGGTGAAGGATGCAGGTGAAACAGTGGAGCATCAAGTAGAAAGTAGAGATAACAACCAGCTTGACTTTAGCAAAGGTCAGCAAGGCAGGTCGAGGAGAAACTATGGACAGTTGCTGCTCCATTTCTAGTGAGATTTTCATATTTGACAACAAATGGTATTAAAGTTATAATTTTATTGCCATTTTGGAAAATAGATTTCATCATTTCTATTGTACCATACACTTCTAAGCAATTCTGATTTTCTCTAGCTAAGTCCTGCTACACCGTTTTCACACATGAAGATTATTTTACTTGCAACATGGAATACTAGCCTGTGGAAACGGTAAAGTCTGAAAAAAAAATAACCATGATGATGTCATCTCTGATTGGATTTGAGACTTAAGGTACAAAGAATGCAGACAGCCTGCGTTTTGAACTTGGTGCACTGAGTTAGAAAAGGGGGCATTTACCAGGCTGGGAGGGTCTAATGAAAGATGCTGTAGATTTGTGTTATTCTTTTTTTAATCTGTTTCTCACAAGGCCTCCAGCCAAATGAAAATAAGGTTGTATATTGATACTAAACCTCTACACCTGAGTAGTTGTGCTTTGTATAACCCTGTACCTGTGTGCACAATTCTCTCTATCTTGATGCTCGAGTTGTCCAGTTCCTTGGCAAAGGTATGTACGGCCTGCAGCAGATCCTCACAGGTCTCTGGGTCGATATAGGTCCTTCGTGTTGGGATCTTAACTAGAATAGTATAATGACATAGAAACAAATTATAGAGGGGATAAACCACAAGCTTGTCTGCACAATAAATATAAAAGCCTTGAATCCCAGCAGCAAAATGTCCACATATAGATAAAAGGATGCACTCAGTTCCCATTAAACTGTGTAAATAAGCAGAGCTAGCCAGCTGTCTGTATTGTTAGTATAAATAGATGTCTGTGGCCCTGACGGTAGCTCTTGCTCAACACAGAGCAAAACATTTCTCATGTCTGAGGCTAGAGTCACTGGAGAAATTGGTATCTCTGCCTCCTTCAACAAAGAATTCTCCTCTGTCTGATTGTTGAACATCAGTGTTATATCTAGGAAAAAGCCCTTGCCCTTTGATCCAGAGGCTGAAATCAATAGCTCAGTTTTACGCCTGATGTTTGAGATAGCAGAAATGTTTTTCTTTTTTGCCTGCTATCAAACCTCATTATAACTGTAGGCCCACCATTAATATCTAACATTATTTGCCAGTTGTCTGTGGTTATGATAACCAAATAATCCAAATCTCAAAACACTGTAGGGTACTATAGTTCAGGATGAGTATTTGTCCTTTAAAAAATACAAAATGCTTTCATTTATGTATTCATAACTCGTCTAACTCTCCTGTCTTGTTTGCTTTGACCTTGCGAACTCCAGAGGCAGACAGAAAAATTGAGATCAAAGTCTCAAGAGTTCTCAGCTCTGACTTTGGGTTTCCTCCACAAGGCTTTAGTCAGATCACAGGGCTCTTCCACAGGCTTTGTGTCTTTTCTGCTCATTTCACTAACACACACATATACATACATACACACACACACACACACACGCGTGCAAAATAACACACAAACACGGTGTAATGTTCAGTCAGAAACTGGGACAGGACATCATAGACAGTGAAATGCTGAGCCAGAGAAACCTTGTGCTATGGTACGTCTAGTTGGCTTCCTGCTTTGTTGGTAATTTTAGAGTTTGGGAACTAACTCTAAGTCTTCAAAAAAAAAAGTGACAGCTTAGGAACTTCAGCAAAAAAAAAAAACTCCCTAAAAATAATATGATCCTATGTCCTCAGTAGCCTGGCAAGTACAAAAGTACACAACTTGTTACCATACAACAGTTTGTCAGAATTCCAAACTGGAGACAAATTAGTCAAAGTAAATGAATAATAATACACTGCATTATCTGAGGTTTTTATAATAAAAAAAAGCTTATTATAACAATTTCCTTTCCTTATTTTTTTCAAGAACCTCAACTGAATCCCCACAGTGACACTAATGAGACGCAACAACTGGATATTTCAGTTGACATTTAGAACTGCAAGTGATATCGACTCCAACTGTTGTCTGTACACAACAAAACAAAAACACTACCTGGTTCCTCAATGAGCCTCTTGTTTTCTTTATTAACTCCCTGTTGTATTTACAAATGACCAACAACTAGCAAATAAACTCGCCAATAAGCATTAACCAGTGGGGTACAGTTCTCAGTTAGGTGACCTTTGACCCTTGTTACTGCATGTTGCGGCTCTTCCAGGAAAAGCCCCGGTAGCTTTCGCAGCAGCAGAACCCAGCTCTGAAATGTTATTACAGCTCCAGATCGACCTGAAGGATACTAGCTGCCTCACAACGGCTTATTGATCCAACACACACACACACACGATTGCATATGTGTACAAACACACATATATATTTGTGTGCATAGACAGGCAGATCGACAAATAAAGCCAAAAGTCCAATTATCAAGCAAATGAGACCTTTTCTATTGAAGGTCAAGGCTGAGTGGAGAATCGAAGACTCTTTCTTTTCAAATGGGGTTTTCAAACATATGCACTGTACTGTTGCGGCTTAAAACCAGCTGTACACACACATGTGCACACACATAGAAGGGATGCTCTTGCGCCTTGTAAACTGATGAGTATAGGCTGAAAATGGTTGCAAAGGTTCAGACAGTATGACACAGGTGTGTGCTTCATTGACTCTGCAGCGGATTAGTTTCAGGGTTAACTGCGTCAGTGCCATGAGCGATTGAGGGGAAACTAAAGCATCATCACACTTGGCTGAATAATCTTCACTATACCAGAGTGTGCATGCTCAGCCCACATATTTTCATTCTAGACAAAAGGCCATAAATTCTGTATTATGCTAAACTGTGTTTCTCTGCTCATTTCCCCAGACACCTTCTCTCTCTCTCTTACATGCAATCAGACTCTGAATGATATTTAAAAGTGGTCTATTAATGAAGACTGCAGATGAGTCTTGATCCTTTCCTCAATGCTCTCTATTACAAGCTTCTAGGTCACAGACTGAGATAAAACTAATGTTTTGAGCAGAGTCACTTATGATGAGTCCCTCCATCTCTGCCACCTCACCTCTTTACCATCCATCTTTCTCCCCTTTCACACTGCCTCTCACTCACCCATTCCCCCTTCCTTATTCCTCCATTTTATTACTCACACACTAATTTATTCAGTCGCTCTCTCTCTCTTTTCCTCTGTCCTTTCATGTTAATATATGGCTGTGAAAAGTGTTTCAAGAGTCTGGCAGGCGAACAGATGGGAGGGGAAAAAAATTTAAAAATCAGGCTTACATAAAACTCACTACCTCACACACTTTCAGTTCCCGGACAAGGCAGAGCTGCAGCACCGTGACAGCACCTCGTACTGTAGTCACAAAAGAGTCACGGAAGAGAAAGCGGACTCACAAGAGTGTGTGTTGGCAAAGAGAACAAAAATATGTCTTTGTGCCTATTTATGTCGGTGTCCACACTCTACAGAGAGGGGTGTATGTTGGAAAATGAGGCCAAAACTGTGTGTGCGTGTGTGTTCTTGTGTGGACTGCATCCTTGTCAGTTGTTGCCATGTCTTTGTTCAGGCAGATTTAATTCCCGGCCGCATGGCTTCGGCTCATTATTTATCAGGCATAGTGCTTCGAACCTCTCTAGAGAGCTCAGCATGCTGGGAGATTAAACAACGCAAATGAGCACGCACGCTCGAGTACCCCACACACACAAGGGAAAACTCTACAAACACACATCACATGCACCACATTAGCAATGCCCTGGTGCACACACTTGCAGAAGACATATGTCAAACTACTTCCATTCTGTCACTGTCAAACAAAAAGCCCATTGAGCGCTTTCAGAGCAGAGTTTTTTAAAAAAAGCAGCATTTACAAGCTTGTACAACATCACATACAACAACAACAAGCCCTGTTTAGAGAGTGCAGGCTCTGCTGCTGCCCGCCAGCGCTGGAGCTTTTACCCCCTTGTCACTCTGGCTCGTTATCGTTCCCCTCCTCCTGATTTCAATCTCTCCCTTTCGAACTCAAATGCACACGCCACCTAATGACGTGAGTCAGTGTTGGCTAAGCATGTGCTCAGAATTAAGAATTAATGTTGTGGTGCTGCTTAGTGCCTCGAATGTCATTTGTAATGCATGGTCTATACACATGCATTCCAGCAGATGGAAGTGGAAAGACAAAGCATTTATTGGCAGATTCCTCCCCAATTCTCTGGCTTTGAACACAAATGCATAAAACACCCCTGTGATATAACAGAGTGGTCGCCACGGTTACTTACACTGGAAGTAAAGTTCCTCGTCTCCCTCTTGAGAAGCTTTGTTGTAGCCGCATTGTCTACAAAGTGAAACAAAAACAGGTATCAGAAACACAACCAAATACAAACATCAGATGCCGTTTATCTTGCAATGTCCATTAACTGGGAGATGAGAGAAAGGGAGCACTGATAGCGGAGATGGAAAGGATATGGAGAAGCATTCCGAGAGATCCCTGGTGTGCTGGTACTGATCAACATCAAACCGTTTTGAGGCACAATAAGCAGAAATCCTGCCTAATTTGACAGAGTGAGTCACAGACACACGTTGTTAAGCCTGGGAGGGCTGTTGTTGTTTCACCCTGGTGGAGTTTTTATGAAAGAGTTGAACACATATACACACAGGCAATACTTTCAACACATATGTGCACACACTGTTCTCTCTCATCCCTTGCCGCTACAGGGGGTCTAAAAGGGAACGAGTTCTCTATGATCTAACTGCTGATGGCTTTGCGGCTTAAAGGGAAACTTGGCTCTCTATCCTCACACCAACACACACCCTCAAGCAGAACACACGCACACACGCTTTAAGTCAGAGATTAACAAGTCCTGGACAGACCTTCTGGCTGGTCAGCACTGTGCTTACTCGGATTAGAGAGTGGGATGAAAAACAAGACAAGAGGGATACAGCCAAGGAACTGACGAAGGTCGTGTTGGTAAAATCTGCTCTACAGATCAGATGCTTTTCTGACAAATAGATGTGTAACACAGATAATAAATGAAAACTCAAGGTCAGGAATGTCAGGAATTTTCTTCCAGCGACAGTCTGAAGAACTCTTTGCAATCCTCAGCTGCGTTAGTTTATAAACTGCGAGGTTTATTACATTTATGACTCGTGTTCGCATATGTTTATTTTGCAAGCATCGCTTCAACACATGAACATGGAAAATATTTATTGTGGCTGGTTACCAGGTTTTCAGGGATTTCAAACAAAAACAGACACAGCAAGCTTGACAAAATCGCTCTGATCGCTTCACACCAAATTTAAGACTTCAGGAGTGGTCACTTTGAGGTGGATAATCTGTGTGTCAGAAAGACTGAGGATGCCCCCTGCTCATCTCTATAAACCTGTGCATGCTTCTGTGCATCGGTATTATTGAGTGAAGGATAATATCTGGTCAGGGAGCTGTGTATTAATGTGCATGTCAGAACACATCAGTGCTTCACACAGAGTTCTCAGAGAGCCTGACAGACCCACATTACCTGTGTGTGTTGCTGCTTGCTTCTTTACACCGCACACACCCACAGCATTTATACACAAATGTGTACGTGCAAACGCTTTCATGCCTGTGTTTACGGGATTGTGTTATTTTGCATGTGCATGCTTCCTGTGAGTGTTTGTGCGAGGGGGATGTGATAGCGGGCGAGGCTGACATATTCCTTAGCCCGTGTACTGGCAGGGTCTGAGGCAAGGTCAGGACCCTGTCTGTCAAAATGCACCAGCAGACACAAGCAGCACAGCTCCTCGGGGCAGGCGATAAGGGGGAGGAGACAAGAATTAATAGATAAGGGAGCATAGCAGAAAGGGAATGAGGTGGGGAACAGTAGGGAGATGAGGATGGAGAGTATTATGGTACCAAGAGAAACAAAATGCAAGAGACCTAAGGGGAGAGGTGACGTAAGGGAGCAAATGGAGAACACGGCAAAGCAGGAGATAAATCACAGAAAAAAAAAGGCAAGGAAGTCAAGAGATGGAGAGGCAGAGGAAGTGACAAGAAAATAAGAGGTTAGGGTAAGAGGGTAATTAAGTAGATATGCAAGGAAGGAGCAATACTATACAATCGTTGAAGAGGCATGGAGTATAGCCCATAAAGTACATGGTTTGGGGCAGAGGAAGAAGCAGGGAGTAAAAGAAAGAAAAGAGTGCAGGGCAAGAACGGATGCTATAGATTAAGGAAGCAAGGCAGCAAAGGAAAACTGTAGCTCAAACATACAGCAGGATAAATTACAGGCGTGACAAGAAGCAAATGAGCAAAACTGCAAGCAGAAGAACTGGAATATCACAGTGTAACAAATCAAATGATATAAAGGGAGTGAGGAGACAAGGAGGGAACTAAGCCTCTGAGAAAAGAAAGAAGGAAGGAAGGAGAAGGCGATGCGCATGAAAGGAAAGTTGCACGACTTTATTCCATTTCCAAAACTTGTTTTAAAATGCCACAGCAGTTCTTTTTGGGTATGAAGTCAACAGTAAGAGTTTCTTTTATATTTTTAAGTTCATTTTATATCATGGTACATCACAGTACTGAGGATATAAATGGAACTGGGCCAAACAGTTCGATAAAAAGGGGAGTAAAAGAAGAAGAAATATTTTTTTTGCTTATTAGCATTCTCTTGGTATAAGGACAGCTGGAAAAAAATATAAAAAAGAGCACAGAGGGAGAGAAGAGATGGCAAGGCAAACGGAGAACTAAAGAGCGAGGATGGATGTGCAGGAGGGGAGTGCAGGCATGTCAGTGTACCTGGGCATCAGCTGTGTGAAGGGAGGAAGAGGAGAGAGAAGAGGAGGAGGAGGAGGAAGAGTGGAGAAAGATGGTCAGTCAGCATCATTTTGGATTGATGGATTCCTTTTTCTTAAATCGAATCATTCCGGTCATCACTGGAATATGGTGGATGTCGCCAAGAAAACATGCAAAAAATAGTCAGAGATCATAACATCTGTGTAAACATATATTAGGAAAATATATCCTCCAGTGTTTTAATGCGTTTGACTAGAATTGTGGACCAATTTTTATATTTAGCACTTCAAAAGAAGCAGAAGATAGAATAAAATGTGCGGATGCCAGAACACTGAATATTCTGGCCAAGTTCTCTCATTGGCAGCTCGGCCTCATCAAATGTTGATCCTGACAAGAATTCCCATCTTCATTTAGCCCATGTTATTTACAAATCATTAAAAGTGGCTTTCAATTTTAATAAATGAATGTAATCGGTGAGGTAAATAAGACATTTTAGCTATCTGACAGTGATTCCTTAGTAAATATAACTTGATGAGTAAGGGTAGCCATTTCTAAGTTTTTGTTGTCACCAAATACTATAAACAGAACCAGCAATGCATTTGTCTGTCTCTCAACACTTTCCGACTTCCTGTGGCAAATCCTTAAGGGGAAATATACACTCACTAGCCACTTTATTAGGTACACCTGTATAATTGTATGCAATTCAATGCAACACATCAGCTTTGATGCCCGACTGTTCAGTTGCTGCCTAATGTACCTGACACACTGACAGGTGCCGCTGTAATAAGACAATCAATGTCATTCATTTCACCTAGCAGTGGTCATAATGCTATAGCTCATCAGTGTATTCCTTATTTTAAAAAATAGTTCAATAATTTCCTAAAATGGTTTTTAGCAGACATTAATAGTGCATTTGTTAGGGCTGCAGTTTTGGTGCTCTAGTGCATATTTACCCCACCAGAGGGTCTACGTGGGACTAGAGAGCCCACTGAAGTATCATTACAATGAATATGGGCACTGTATTTTAATTGTGCAGAGATGTCACCAAGTGCAAATGTGCAGCTCACCTGATGTGTTTTGACCACATAAATAATACCTATTAGAATCAGTTCAATGCTGGTTTTGGTCTTTTTGTGGGGAATAACGGGGAAAATGCCTTTTGTTATCTGGATGGAGGGAGTTTGTAATGTCCGACGTGTATGTTTTTACAGTAAGTGCATACTTTTTAATGATTCTTTTTGATAAAGCAGTGGTCGGAATGCCTTCTTGGCACACAGCATAGCAAACAGCACTGGGAGATATTTTCCTCATGGGGCCCATCTTTGAAGAGGAATCTTGTAAGGTGAAATATAGTTACTTGTACATTACAGCTCACAAATCTTTTGTTGAAATATATAAAAATATTTTTATTTTTTAAGAACTAGCAGGTCTTCCTTACATGACATCAATGTAACAGTAGTAATAACTGTAAACAAAAGGCTGTCATCATGACTTGGGCAGAAAGAATAAGCACGAGCTGTGCCCTACGTATATACATCTCAATGACAAATTCAAATTTTGCTCATTTTCTACTGAATTATCATATGTGCAGCACTCGCTCGTGTTTTCAAGAGAGAACTTTCAAGCAAAAGGAGAACTGACACTATGTAAATTTAGCCTATCTACTATCGACTCTTTCCTCTCTGTACCTGAATTCTCCTCTAAAATGAAGTGCAGTTATGGAAATAACATGAATAATAGGTGAGAGAGCAGGAATAGAATCCTAGCTGGCAGCTAAAGTGAGGCAGAGAGGAATTAGAAAGAGGCTTGTGTGGGGTAAAACACATGGAAAATTAGGACATTTCATAAAACCGCTTCAGCTTTCATCCATCATAAGTTTTATCCATTAGTAAGACTCTAGTTTATCAGATCCAAAATGGTGACACATTTGTTTTCCTCCACTGCTGAGCTGCTTCTTGAAAATCCACACTATGGTTTTTTTTTTATCTAAAGTTTTTCCTGCACAAAGTAAAGACATCATAGTTTATTGTTTGACTTAAGAATCATTAACAGGTCATTACTTACAAATAAAGTAATGATCACTGATTTGTGAGTGATGACTTAAAGCAACTTTCACGTTTAAAATGGAAGATGTGTGTGTCTGATTTTGAAACATGAAAGTACTGATCTGTACAAGACATGCAAGAAACAACACTGCTGAGCTTAAGACCTTTTCTCTTGGCCTACCATCACTCTATATCTGTGTCACTAAGAGTCAGTGGCCCTCTGCTTTAATTCCCACTTCTTCCTTTCCTCTTGAACTCCGCTCCTGATAACTTGTTACCAGACACAGATATACACACTCACCAGTCACAGCACATACACACACACGGAGCGACGTGTCTGGTGAAGGGTAAACAATCCCACTGCACTGACCAGTGAAGCCTGGGCTTCCTGGAGAATGTTTGGGCGATTCTCTGGAACTGTGGCTCTATCAGACTGTCAAGCACCAGTGAACTCTGTGTCTGTGTGAATGTGAGTGTGTATGATGGGACAGTGTCAAGATAAGGTTTATAGAAAATAAAACACAATGTACTTATTTCTTTGTCAGTCCTATCAGTCTATTCTTACTGGTTCCTAATATTTCCCCATGTACAATCACAACAACCCTGGCAGAGAGAGGAAAAGCCCATAACACACTGGCCATGCAGTGGCATTTAGACACCTGTAGCATCAGAAGGCCAGTGGCATGGCATAAACAAGCTGGATGTGCCAATATAAGGAACAAAACATAAACCAGCAAAATACTGGAAAACAGGAGAGTTCTTCAGAGTGGCGAGTCCACAAGTTCACACATGCTAATATATGCTATTTTATATTTAGCAGTGTGTTTTGGTCTTCAGAGCGACAGGGACAAAAAAGGTTCAGAGGAGGGAGAACCAATCCACACCCACGTGTTAGAGCTGCTGTCACACATTTACATTAGAACTGAGAAATGAAGCCACATTTCCCGACACAGTGGGCTTGAGGACTGTGCAGAGTATCCCCGTGCGTATCCATAAATGTAAATGTGTGCCTTATGTGTGTAAGGCTGCCTGCGCCTGTGCCGTGCGGTATGTGTACGCAGTGGGACTCATTTGCATGTGCCTGTGTGAGCAGGCAGATCGATGTAACTGAGACCCTCCAGCCTTAGCCAGGAGCTGGCTGTCTTTGCAAATAATACAAGAGCATGGTAATTGAGGCATCAAGTCATTCCCTCTTTGTCTCTATGCAAAACATGAAGAGCAAGTTAATGGTCCAGCAGCGATGAACAATGGAGACCATTTGGAATGAAAGCAGTGATGGAAATAAAGGAGAAAAAGATAAGCATTATTATTCACTGCCAGGCTGAGGGTATGATGCTGTTGTTCCTCAAAGCAAGAGTGTGTTTAAATAGCTGTACATGTGTGTATCTACTGAGAGTAAGAACATTTTTGCATATTCAGTGTTTTCTGTCACTATGCTGCTTCCTTCACATGGTGCGTGTACATTTATCCCCATATACTCCTTTACAGACGTGTGACTGACAGCACCGGTGCTGCTGTGAATGAATGGAACCCGTTCCTACACCTGGTTGGTGCCATCATTGCACTGCTTATGTGCATCTTGAAATGGTCTGGTGGTCTCCTCTTTATCACAGTCCCCTCTTTATACAGGTAGGTGTACCTGTGGAAAAGGCCTGCTTTACTTTATCCAGATGAGATGTGGCACCGTAGATCTGTGTCTGCATGTGTAGAGGAAAGAGAGAGGGACTCCACACAAACTGTGCAAACAAATCCTTTCACAGTGTGTATGAAAATATCTCTGGATAGGGATAGATTCCAATTGAATATCAGCCAAATTAAATGAGGAAAAAAAAAAACTATTGTGTTTGGCAGTGTGTACAGTAGATGTGTGTTAACTGTGTGGGAGTAGATATGTGCTCCCTACTCATCTGCCCGAGTGTGTGATGGAGTGTGTGACATGAATTGGGTGAGTATGTGTTTCTGTGTGGGCGTGTGTGAAGCGAGCTAGCAGGATATAGAATTGGACAGAAGTCAAAGAGCAAAGTGTTTGGAACGACAAGTGGAAATGCACCGTCTCTTATTTAACTGCTCAGCTGAACAAAACATGCGATATATGGGCAAAATGTAGTCAGTGTCATAAACAAGACAATAACACATGCATCAAATGGAGGGTAGTGAGTAGGTGGGTGATTGATTTTTGACTTTGTAGGAGTTTAGTTTAGTAGTATCAGAAACATCAAAGAAAATTCATATACAGTGTCTGATAATCACCACAAAGATTTGTAAAAATAGACAAAGGAACTGGTGGGGAACTAGTGGTGTGGAGTCTTAATTACCAACTGATACCACACATACGAATTCAACCTCCATACCACAGAAGCTTTTTCAAGCCTGGCAGGTGTTGCTATTTTCCACTAGTCACTTATTATGTTTTGTATTATAATGAGCCACTTCCTACACTCAATTGCAAGTTGGTCCTCAAAATAAATCGCAATTCTGAACTGGTCAAACATGGTTTGTCTACTTAAGCTAATGCTGCTAACAGCAACAAGTCCCGGTTTCATGTGGCTATGCATCAGCAAAAACTGTTTTATGGTTGCTTCATTTTTCAGTCCATTCAGAGGTAATATTGTAACAGCAATGCTCTTAATTGTGCAGCAATGTTCACTAATCACTTGGGACTACAAAAATCTATTTAATAGTTAATAGTTTAATAGGGATGTATCTTCAAATTGTACTGCTTTACAGTTTTTAAAACCATGCTAGTACAACGCATACTAGCTTTGCTTAACCTAATTTTAAGCTGGTCCAAACAAGCCATGCACTTTTGTTTTAAAAAGAACCAAAGCCTACCCAGTATGTGGGTCTAAGTTTACCAGACTGCCACTGTAAACCTGATTAACAATAGAGAAATGAAGCTTCTTGCCACAGTCTGAACGGTCTCTTCCTGCTGCCCGAAAACTCGCTCAACTAAAACAATCTCAATTTAATAGAGTGAGTATGCTGAAAAATGAGCAGTGGGGCTGTTGTAGTCTATTGGTTTGCTTTAAAATTTATCGCCACTATAAAAAATTTGGTGAAATAACAATTCCGTGTGACAACTGTTCACACTTATTATGAAAAGCACAAAAGACATTTGAAGTTGTTACATGCCCAAGAGGTGGAGCAAACTGTCGGGCAGGAT